GAACATGAAATTCACCCACAGCCCTTAGGACAGTGTCTGGCACAGCGTAACCACTGATAAATCCTGTCCTCACCAGCATGGAGCTGTGTGACTGCAGCACCAGGTACAGCATCGGGGGGGGGGGGCGGAGGGGGGGCGCACCATGAGTGTCTGTGAATGACTATGGGTCAAAAGGTACCACATGGAGTGGTGGATCGGAGATGATGGCAGCATAAAAAATGGTCCGTGTCCTCAATAGGTTACAATCACACAGAGACAAAGGCAAAGTAAAACTCACCCACCTAAGGGAGGCATATGCTAAGTGTCAAATAAGTAACAGAGAGACGAAGTCTCTAAAACTTGAGAGACTAAAGGGGTCCCTGCAGGCTGGGTGACTGTGATGGTTTCAGAGTCTCCACTGAAACACATATGGAAACTTAATGGAAAATGGAGCCTTTAAGACACTGATTTTCAACATTTTTTTAATCTCACAGCACACTTGAACCTATAGTTAAACTTCTACAGCACACTGATCAAAAAAAAAAAAATAAAGAGAGAGAGAAAGAATATGCTTACTGTGCCTTGAACTTCTTTTCAGGGCCCATCTAAGATCCTCTCACAGAACACCAGGGTGCCGTGCCACCCCCATTGAGAATCAATGCCCTAAGAGGCGATTAAGTCATGAGCCCTCCTCATAAGTGGATGAAGGTCCTCCCCCGTCTTGTGTGTTCACTTCTGCTTTTTGCCCTTCTACCATGGGATGACCCTCACCAGATGCAAGGGCATGCTTTTGGATTTCCCAAGCTCCAAAACCATGAGCTGAATAAACTTCTGTTCTTTATAAATTACCCACTCTGTAAAAGCAGCAGAAAATAGACTAAGACAGAAAGTTGGTACTAAGGAGTGGGGCTGTTGCTATACCAAATACCTGACAACGTGGAAGCAGCTTTGGAACTGGGTGATGGGAGGAGGCTGGAAGAATCTGGGTGAGCGGCCTAGGAGAAGTCTGCATCACTGTGAATGGAGCATTGTGGGCAATTCTGGTGAGGGCTGAGGAGAGAGGAACTGCAGGGAAAGTCTGGAACTTTGCTCATGACCAGAATGCTGGCAGAAATACAGACAGGAAAGGCCATTCTGAGGAGGTCCAGATGGAAATAAGGAATGAGGCACTGGAAACTGAAACGAAGGCCAGGCTTGTTATAAAGTAGCAAAGACCTTAGCTGAATTGTGTCTGTGCCCAAGGGCTTTATGAAAGGCAAAACGTAAGAGCAATGAACCAGGATATTTGGTGGAAGAAATATCCAGGCAGCAAAGCGTTCAACTGGTTGTGTGGCCACTTTGAGAGTATAAAGTAAGATGCGAAAGTGAAGAAATGACTTAAGGATGGAATTGATAATTAAAAAGAAGCAGAGGGCTCAGCGCCTGCAACTCATTGGTTAGGGTGCTGGCCACATGAATCAGAGCTGGTGAGTTTGAACCTGGCCCAGGCCTGCTGAACAACAATGACAACAACAACAACAACAAAATAGCTGGGTGTTGTGGTAGGCACCTGTAGTCTCAGCTACTTGGGAGGCTGCAGCAAGAAAATCACTTAAGCCCAAGAGTTTGAGATTGCTGTGAGCTGTGACACCACGGTACTCTACCGAGGGTGACATAGTGAGACTCTGTCTCAATTAATCAATCAATCAATAAAAATAAAAATAAATGAAAATAAAAAGCAGACCAGAAAGATTTGGAAAATTCCCAGTTTGGTTATGTAAAGAGTGAAAAGCATATTTGCAAGCAGTGTGGCCAAGTGAAAGTTTGTTAAGGAGATTCCCATGGCTAGAAAGAAACCAGGTGCTAGTTGACTAGACAGTGGGAAAGACAAATATTCCAGAGATCTTGCAGGCTGCCCCTCCTGTCATAGTCCCAGAGCTCTAGGAGGATAGGTAGTTTCAAGGACAGGCCTGGGATGCCCTTCACAGGCTCAGTGCCCAGGGACTCTACTCCTCACGTGCCAGCTTAGTGCTCCTTAGCTGCCCCAGTCAGGGCTCAAGTGGGCCCAATGTGGCTCAGGCTGCCCTTTTGAAGATACAAGCTGTAAGCCTTGGCAGTGTCCACGTGGTGCTAATTTTGTAGGTACAGAAAATGCCAAGAGCGATGGTGTACAGTTTCCTCCATCTAGATGTCAAAGGAAACCACAGACCACTGACAGCCTAGTGGAAACCTGCCAGAGGGACACCACCGGCTGGAGCTGTAGAAGTGAGGCTACCCCTGAGAGCACACAACTGCAGGGCCACCAACACCCAACTCCGGCCTGGGAGAGCTGAAGAGCAGACTGAGCCCAGTGAAGCCGGAGGAGGGGCTTCTGAGCCCCTGAGGGCCCATCTCCCACCCCAGCGTGTCCAGGATGCAGCACATGGAGCCAGAGGAAATTCTTCTCCAGCTTTAAGATTTAATGTTTTCCCTGCTGGGTTCTGGACTTACATGGGACCCGTTACCCCTTTCTTCTTGTCTAGTCCTCTCTTTTGCGATGGGAATGGCTGTCCCACCATTGTACGTTGGCAGTAAATAAATTGTTTTGACTGCACAAGCTCTCAGCTGGATGGAATCTGCCTCAGGATGAGTCTCACCCATATCTGATTTAGATAATATTCTGGACTTTGGACTTCTGTGTAGACCTTGGAGTGAATTAAGACTTTTGGGGCTACTAGGATGGAAGGAATGCATTTTGTGTGAGGGAAGGATATGAGTTTTGGGGTACCAGGGACAGAATGCCATGGTTTGAATGTTCACACCAAAACTCATGTTAAAATTTAATTGTCAATATAATGGTATTAGTAGGTGGGGCCTAAGAGGTGATTAGTTGGCAAGGAGTCTGCCTTCATAAACAGACTGATGCCAGTATCACAGGAACAGGTTAGTTATCACAGAAGTGAGTTCCTGATAAAAAGAATGAGTCTGGGCTAGGCGTGGTGGCTGACAGGTGTAATCCTAGCACTCTGGGAGGCCAAGGCTAGTGGATTGCTTGAGCTCAGAAATTCAAAACCAGCCTGAGCAAAATCGAGACCCTGTCTCCACTAAAAATAGAAAAACAAGCTGGTGGGCGCCTGTAGTCCCAGCTACTCAGGAGGCTGAGCCAAGAGGATCATTTGAGCTCAGAAGTTTAAGGTTGCTGTGAGCTAAGATGCCATAGGATGAGTCTGGCCCAATTCCTTGTCTCCTGTTCACTTCTACCTTCTGTCCTTCTGCCATGGGATGATGCTTGCCAGGTGCTGGTGCCATGCTCTTAAGATGTCCTGTCTCCAGAACCCTGAGCCTAATAAACTTTTCTTTATAAATTATTCAGTTTGTGGTATGCTGTTATAGCAACAGAAAATAGCCTAAAGCAATGACTGGAGAGGGTGTCCTTAATTCATGGCCTGAGAAGACCTTTCTGGTGACTAATGGGTCAGGGCCAGTGGCAGGCAGGTGGTTGGGAGGCCTGCCTGTCTCACTGTCCCCAAAGTGAGGACAGATCCAAAGCTTTCCATGCAGTCAGCTCCTGTTACAATTCAGACTTGAGGAGTACAGGCCAGAGAGAAACTTGAGAAGAGTAGCGTGAAAACCTCTGGGCACATCTGACATGCTCCTCTAACCAGTTCCTTACATCTGGTCTCCCTGGGATGGAAAAATATATTTGGGCTTTAATTCTATAGTTTAAATACAAAGGAGATCCTTATTCTCCTTTATTGCTCAAGATGAAACAAGACAGAATAGGCTCCTAGTACCTGGCACACTTTGGATTTCCAACAAGTAACCCTAAAAATAGGTACCGTGAAAGGCAATAAAAGATCCTAAAAATACAAAGTTTAGTTTTGCCAACAAAAAGGACAAGAAAAAACAATTTAAACCTGAATCTGATCAAGCCTCTAGATCCAATTACTGACTTACAGAAAATACAGAGAACAAAGAAATATGATAAATTATAAGACAGGATAAAATCAGTAAAATCCAGATTGTAGGAAAATCCCTCGGACAAAAGAGCTGCTTTCTTCAACAAATAAATTGCAAAAGGGACAGGGCTAGAGCTACAGAGAAAACCTACAGAGTATGAGACTTAAAAGGAGCACCAAGAAGTCATAACAAGAGGATGCTGATTCTAATAAATTGTTTAAAAATTACAAAATTTAAGAAAAAAATTAGTAATTTGAACACTAATTACATACTTGGTAATCTTATGGTCTTCAGATGTGATAATGAATACTATGGTGGTTCCATTAAACAAACAAAAAAAGCATTCTTATTTTCTTTTAGACATCTATTCTGAAATATTAAAGGTGGATGCGCTTCAAAATAGGGATCGTGGGTACAGCACAAAAGGAAACAAGACTGGCCGTGAGTCAGTAATTATTATAACTAGAAGACAATCACATGAGGGGGTCATCTGTTCTTTTTCCTTGTAGATATGTTGGCAATTTTCTATGATTACTAAAAAAAAAAAAAGGCCAAATTAATTTTCTAGATCAAGTAAAGAACCTTAAGCTTAAATATTAAAATAATAACTTTTCTCTAAAATAATCACTTCAAACGAATGAAGAATGGCAGTCACAAAATGTAGCAGGGTAAGTAAGATCTCTCCTCATTTTATAGGTGAGGGAAAAGTCTCAGGGTAAGAAAGCAGGAAGTGTGGGCGGACTCCACCTGGGCTCTTCCCATCAGAGCCAAAGCTCATCCTACCCAGGTTTGGCTTTGAAGGTGGGCTCCTGGCAGGGCAGAACTTGTATGATCTGCTAACTTTCCACATGTTTAATCACCTGTAAACTACTTGTATGATGTGCTAACCTTCCACAACATCTTTAATCACCTATAAACTACACTATGTCATTTTGTATATTAATCCAGTGCAGTGATGTGTATGGTGAAGTATATAAAGCATGACGATGAGAAGAAGCAAAGGCATGGTGCACAAGAGAGACTTTTTTCTGTTTTGTTTTGTTTTTTAAAGAGTTACCATGGAAGTTTACTTAATACTTTTGGGTAAAAAAGTAATGACTTACCACGCATAGAAGCCAAAGCACAACATAGAGTATTTGGGTCTTAGAGAAAAGATCTTGTCCAAATTTTATGCAAACAATAGCTTCCAGGAAACCAATGACCCTAATGAGAAAACAAGAGGTTAAATATTAATCTACCTTTCTAAAGCATACACATTATCAACAATGTACATGATTGAATCACAAAGCTCAAGTAGTTCTAAGATTTCTGCTCAACACTGCTGGCATGCTGGCAGGTATCCCACAAAATGACACTGTTCTAACCCACTGCACTTTCTTCAGAAATAATAAAATATTTTTTACTTCTTCCTTCCTTCCAGACCAAAATCTTGACTTGAAAACTTTAATAGCTAGGGGCAGCACCTGGTATCATTCACCTTACAGTCCTATCATGGTCTGGGGAGGACCACCAAGTTACCTCTGTGGGAACCCTCTCTAGCACAGGCAACCTATTCTCGGTGGGTTGGTCCTGTGGTCAAACTCTTTCAAACTTTCTTTCTTTCTTTTTTTTAATTGAGACAGAGTCTTACTTTGTGGCCCTCAGTAGAGTGCCATGACATCATAACTCACAACAATCTCTAACTCTTGGACTTAAGCGATTCTCTTGCTTCACCAAGTAGCTGGGACTAGGGGTCTCCACCACAAAGCCTGGCTTTTTTTTTTTTTTGTAGAGACAGGATCTCACTCTGGCTCAGGCTGGTCTCGAACTTCTGAGCCCAGGGCACTCCACCAGCCTCGGCCTTCCAGAGTGCTAGGATTACAGGCGTGAGCCACTACTCCCGGCCTCTTTCAAACTTTCTATTGAAAAGTCCTTCCATCTTGTGCTGGTGTCTGTTTCCTTATACCTTCTATCCACGGGTTCAGACACTGCCCTCAGCTGCCACACGGTGAGTCTGAGCTTTCCCAGACATCTTTCAGTAACTTGAAGGCACCAATCACAATCCCTCTCAGCCTTCTAAGAATTTCCAAATTATCCTCTGTTTTTGCTGACAATATAAGCCCTTAATACTCTCTTGAATTGTGAGCAATTTTGTTCAAAACATGTATACACACATGTACTTTGTTTTGCCCTTTAATTAAAACATTGGTGTTCCTTGTTTGAGGTGTAATCTGGATTACAGTCAGGGCCTGGTGTACCCTTACAGGTATATTCTAAAAAGGCGAGGAATGGCCAAGAAGGTCCTCTGGTTTCCCACTTACTGACAGACACAAATGTCACTGCCATCATCAAATGTATGGATGGCTCCAAACAACTGAATGTCTGGAGTTAGAACCACCTCAGCAAAGGAAAACAATCAACAGAAAGTCTCTTTAATGTGTCTTTAGAGATTATGGGGCTGACTCTCCTCCCAGGGGAATCTAACCTTTTGGCTTCTTTGGGCCACTGCGGCAAAAGAGTTGTCTTGGGTCACACATTAAATACACAAACACTAACTAAAAAAGAAAGAAAAAAAGGTCTGTGCATAATTATCGTGATATTGGCCACCAAAGATAATCAAAAAAGCCCTCACAAATCTGCATGTACCCCACAGGCTGGATACCGCGGTGCCTAGTCCTACCCAAACAAGGTTTAAGTGCGGTTGGCTTGAATCTTTAAAGACCGTTGCCCCTCCCTCCCACAACAAAGCATGTCCTGTGTGAGACGGCCTCACTTTAGCTGAGGAACACAGAAGCCTTTCTCCACTGCAATCCTGAAGTCTAGTCTGGGACCTGGCACCAGATGGCATTTAAACTTTTGCTACTTCTGGGGACTGCAAACTAATACAGCCTCTTTGGAAAGAAGTATGGAGAATTCTCAAAGAACTCAAACTAGACCTCCCATTTGATCCTGCAATTCCATTTCTAGGCATCTACCCAGAAGAAAAAAATCATTTTATCACAAAGATATTTGCACTAGACTATTGATCACAGCTCAATTTACAACCACCAAGTTGTAGAAACAACTTAAATGACTATCAACCCAGGAAGGGATTAACAAGTTATGGTATATGTACACCATGGAATACTATTCAGCCATTAAAAAAGATGGAGACTGGCTTGGCACCTGTAGCTCAGCAGCTGGGGGCCAGCCACATTCACCAGAGCTGGAGGGTTCGAATCCAGCCCTGGCCTGCCAAACAATAATGACAACTATGACCAAAAAATAGCCAGGTGTTGTGGTGGGCGCTTGTAGTCCCAGCTACTTGGAATCACTTAAGTTCAAGACTTGGAGATTGCTGTGAGCTGTGACGCCATGGCACTCTACCCAGAGTGACAGCTTGAAACTCTGTCTCAAAAAAAAATTAAAAAAATAAAAGAAAAGAAAAAGATGGAAACTTTACATCTTTTGTATTAACCTGGATGGCTGAAACACCTTCTTAGTAAAGTATCCCAAGAATGGAGGAGCAAGAATCCAACATATTCAACACTAATATGAAGGCAGCAGATGATCCAATACATGCCCACATAAGAGAAAAACTCAAATCAATTCAAGGTGGGGTAGGGGCAATAATGGAGTAGGGAGAGGGGGAAGTTTATGTTCCCACTTAATGGGCACAATGTTAGGGTGTATGGCACACATCTTGGGGTCCAGGACACAATTGTAAGAGGAAGTCTACCTAACAAATGCAAATACTATAACCTAGTTCTTTGTACCTTCAAATGCACTCGAAACAATTAAACAACAACAACAAAACACACACACACACACACACACACACACAAAATCTTTAGCTACTTCTAGCATGTGCCATGAGAGGAGGGGTACTTGTGAGAGGACATGAAAAGGATTACTTCATCTTTGGCTGGGACTACCTGAAGAACTGTTAGGAGGAAGTGCTGAGCCTGGGATCTAAGTGTGACTGTCTAACCCACAAGCAGATAGAATGCTTTGGGTTTATTAAGAAAGGTTTCTGATCATTCAACTAGATTTCTGTCCTCTTTCAAAAAGCATAGTGATCAGCAGACTAAAGCTGAGTTTCTCAAACTTTTGTGATCTAAGACCCATGGCAGAAACATGTTTTTCCTTACAACCTAGCACACACACATGCACACCAATGAAACTAAAGCCTCACAAGACAAATGGTATCCTTACTCTGGTATTTTTCTACTCTACTTCATTCTAAGAATGAAAATGGAGCCACGTGATGACTTCATAATGACCTGACTTTCTTCTAGAGACCAGTGCTTTTGAGTCAGCAACTGTCAGATGTGATCTGTTCCTTTGTGCTGAGGAGGCTTAGCTGCTGTCCGTGTCTGAGAAGGGACAGCTGCACAAGTCCAGGAGGATGTGCAGAGGCACCTGAGGGGTTATCTGGGTATAGAGCAGTGGTTCTCAACCTTCCTAATGCCACGACCCTTTAATACAGTTCCTCATGTTGGTGACCCCCAACCATAAAATTATTTTCATTGCTAATAGGACATGAGATTCTGTTGCTAATAGCAACAAAAATAATTTTATGGTTGGGGGTCACCACAACATGAGGAACTGTATTAAAGGGTTGCGGCATTAGGAAGGTTGAGAACCACTGGTATAGAGAGTCCTGGGCTGAGACCAGGCACAGGGAGGAGGCCAGGAGGACCTGGCAGGGAGAGGAAGGGGCTGAATTGAGGTCTGAGAAACACTGGTCTTAAAGGCTACCCTTGGGCCTGGCTTTTAGTCTCAGGAAGCCCTTGAGGGTTTGGAGCAAAGGTTTTAACACAATTCTATTTACATTTTAACCTGCTCATTTCTGGCCTCCACACAGAACTGCTATCAGAGGGCCAGAGTGGAAGCAGGGAGGCTACTGCACTCGCCCAGGCACAGGGACCAGTGAGCACCGTGGAGCTGGTGAGGAGTGGGAATGGAGGTACCAAACCCCAAAGCCACATGGACCTTTAACCGTCAGCCACTGACTGTGGCTGTTACCCCCAGCCTGCCAGAGGGAGTCCTTATTAATAGCATCCTTCTAGAAGGTAAACATTACTTTTCTACTAAGACTTAAATGGTGGCTAGTTCAGGGCTAAGGCCAGAGGCTTAGGTGCAGTGAAGGGGCCTATATCAGGCTACCAGCTGAGATACCACCTACCTCCCCCTGCCTCTCCCTCCAGTCTCTGCTGGGGGCTCCCTCTGCTCAGCTTGGCAACTGTCCTGTCACTCAGTTCAAATTAAAATCTCTAATCTTTCCCAGGCTGAGCTAGGTGACTGAACTGGCTGGATGGAATTCAGTCTTTGCCCTTACTCCCTTTGATGACTGTGACTGCCTTCCGTATCTTGATCTGGCAAGGTTAGGAAACAAACATTTGGGTGGCCTGAGGTGGGGCCACCTGAGTGCAGGCACCTAAGATTCCCCACTCTCGGCACCACAGCACAAGAAAAAGGTGCTCATAACCCAGCGCCAGGGTAAGAAGTTGCATGGGGAATGGAGCAAGAACGTAAGCCGCGTTGCTGGAGGATTCAGCACAGAAACTCTAGGGCAGGCGTCCTCAACCTACAGCCGGCAGGCCACATGCGGCCCGCTTAGGACATTTATCCGGCCTGCCAGGTGTTTTTGCTGCCGCAGCCCACTTGTCCCAGGGCCCGCAGTCCAGCCCTCCAAAGGTCTGAGGAACAGTGAACTGGCCCCCTGTTTAAAAAGTTTGAGGACCCCTGCTCTAGGGCACAGAAGCTCTAGGTTCCTGTGTGTGTGCTGAGGGTACAATCTAATCTGAGAAGCAGAGGAAGAGTTTTTAGGCGCCGACAAGCCTGCCCTTGGGTTCTGAGGATGCCCCGGCCAAGCCACAGTCACGGAGGCTGGAGGGCCTAGCTGCCCACATCCTGCAAATTCACTCCATAGCTGTACTGGGTCAGCTGGGGGGCCTCTCAGTGGCCCTCAGCAGCGGAAGGACATGAGATGCATATCTAACTCAACTGTCACACAATCACACAGGGCGCCAGGAAGGGCTCCCCAAGTTCAGGAATAAACTTCCAGTTCTGACTGAGAGATAAAGCCATCTTTTTGAAGGACATGAGAGCTGAGTGGGGCCTTAACAGATGACATTTCAGTCCTTGGTACTTTCTGACTTCCAAAGAACCCCCGAGGGCAGGGAGGCTGGTGAGAAGGGAGTCCTGGGTGGCACCCCCAGATCAGGTCTGCTCAATGGTTT